TCTTGCTTTTTCAATTATCCAGCAGATATTTGCAATTTGATCTCTGGTTCCTCTGCCTTTTGTAAAACCAGCTTGAACATCTGGAAGTTCACAGTTCACATATTGCTGAAGCCTGGCTTAGAGAATTTTGAGCATTACTTTACTAGCATATGAGATGAATGCAAAGGGGTGTTGGAGAGGACTCTTGAGAATCCCTTGGACTGCAAGGAGATCCAATCAGTCAATCCTAAAGGAGATCAGTCCTGGGTGTTCATTGGAAGGACTGATGTTGAAGCTGAAACGCCAATACTTTGGCCACGTCATGCAAAGAGTTGACTCATTGGAAAAGACTCTAATGCTGGGAAGGACTATGGGCAGGAGGAGAAGGGGATGACAGAGGATGAGATGGCTGATGGCATCACCAACTTGATGGACATGGGTTTGGGTAGACTCTGGGAGCTGGTGATGGACAGGGAGGCCTGGTGTGCTGCGATTCATGGGGTCGCAAAGAGTTGGACACACCTGAGCAACTGAATTGAACTTATTTTTTTATATATTAATTTATTATACTGTTAATACCAAATTAAATTTATGGAAAAGCACCAATTTGTTCCTGCTTAAGAAGACCTGTAGCAACCTACTTTCTTATTCTCCCTCTACTCATGTGACTTACAAAGAATACAAATGTCTACCAGGAATGTAAAATGAAAGAGACAAGAAAGATTGAAAGAGGGCCAGAACTATTTGTTTTTAGTTTTGGTATATTCATCTTATTCTCTAAGTTTCCGCAAAAGTTATGTTACCCTACCAACAAATGCTAACTTCTCCTCATCTTAAATTTGCTGTGATGAATTTAATACATTAATACATTTTTTTAACTTCTAAACAGAACTCTACATTTCTGGGTTTTATTTATATTTAAAACCATGGAGGACCTAACCTAAAATAATTACTGATACTTATATTTATTTACCCTAAGAATTCTCAGCTAGACTTCACCTTGCTATCTTCCTATGAATAGGAATATACAATATAACAATGATGGCCTTACTCAAAAACCTGTCCAGAGTTCTTTGTCTCCAAGCACCATTAGACAAAATAGACTACAGATACAGTTCTAGGGGGAAAAATACTTTTTACCAACTATATTCATATTGGGTATCTATACTATCACTCCACAAAGCCATAATAAATGTATTCTTTCTAGAAATGACAGACTATTAACTTGCCAGAAATTGTTCAAGTTCAACCAAGGCTTTCAGTAAGCAGGCTTACATTCCCATTTTGCCTTTGCTCAGAACCTAAACAACTAAACATCAGGGAAATTACACACTGTCATATCTGTTTCTAAATAAATCTTTATAACATCTCTACAATTTCAAGTTATATTTACATTGAAATTTAAAATTAATTTCATTCTGTACCTCTCATTCTGTCACAACACTGAACAATACTCCTTTGTAGCATAAACGCCCTCTATTAACTGCTAAAATTTAAAATATTCAGCTGTCTTTTTTTCTCCTCCTTTTTCTATCTGTAACCTATGATCTTACAAGTGTTTATCTCTGATTTCCTTTGAGTACTGGAATTAGTGGTCCTTCACAAGTCATGTGTTTTTCGAAACACAAATCTCATGTTTTATTCAAACCTTTAATTTCTGAACAGGAATCTAGAGGTTTATAACTCAATATCTGAATTGAAAAGTTAATTTCTTGCAGTGTTTTCTGAATGAATCAATATAAAGGGCCTCTCATTCATCAAGAGTTACAATTAAGATATGATCCAATATCCATTATAAGTTATATAACAAAATAAGATAGGCTCTCTTTGGAGAAAGCATAACATAGATAAGAAAATAGCCTCATTCAATATCCATACACTATCAAGAATCAGAATCTATAGCTGATAATGCAAATCAAAACAAACAAGAAACATTTCATAAAAGCTGAGGAAACAAAATCAAAATCCAGAAACAATCTAAAAAGGAGAGCAAAAAACAAAAGCTTAAAAATGTTAATAATGACAATAACAGGAAAATTAACAAACTATCACCACAAGCCAGGCTCTGCTCCATGTACTTTCACATATTAATTCATGAGAATCATTAAGTACACAGAATCTAAGACACAGCTGTAGGAAAGGAAAGCATATATAAAGATCATATTCAGGAAGGATTAAATAGGAGTTTGACAGCCTCAGTTTTGTTCCATAGAGATGAGATATAGCAGTATTTAAACCATGATTGAAAGAGAAAAACTTAAGTGTCATGTATTACATTTTGGGAAAAATGTAACTCAAGTTAATAACATGATAAACCAAATGGTTTTGGGGGGAATATAATTTCATTTAGAAATTAAAAAAAACTAAAAGAATATGGTTAGTGTTTTGGGTAGTATGAGTGGAAAATGAGAAAATAAAGATATTTTTTAACACTTTTACAAAAGTATAACAATAATATCTGTAAGAAAGGATGAGAGAAAAATAAAATGATGGTATGTCAGTTGTAACAGTAGAAGGTTCGTAGAGTCTAATAAATGAAAATAAGTATGGAAGATTGTGCTTTGTGAATGATTATTTTAATAGCAGTTCTTGCCATACTGGAGGAATTGGAGTATCTTGTTAGAGGTACTCTGGAGATAGGTAAAATGCTGAATATTGAAAAAGCAAAAGATGCTAAAGACAAATATCAAGTCACTAAAACCTGATGTCTTATAGATTAATTTTATTTTATTTTTGAAGATCCAATTTGACAATTTTACTTCTGACTAGTAAATTTAGTCCTTATACAATTATAGTCATTATTATATCACATTGTCTCCTACATTTTACTTTCTGCTTTATATCTGTAAGCTTTACCACTACTTCTACTGTACCTTTCTTCCTTTGTTTTAGACAGATTTGATTTTTGTTATCTTTTCCATTTTCTCCTCTATACAACTTTGAAGGTTATACACACCTGTTTCTCCACTTTAGGTGGCTGTGCCTTAAATTTTGTCATTAATATTTAACTTAAAATCTAAAGTGATTCTATAATCTGAACCTCTTTTTCTAACAGAAGAATCAAATACAATTTGATCAACTCCCAACTCAATTATGAAACTGTCTTTTAGTACAAACTAGGTATCATAATTATTTTTACCCATATATTGTTTAGACTTACCCATAAGTTTCCTAATTTCTTGTCACTTACCACTCCTCTCAAGTATTCATTAGGTTTCATTTTTTTTCTCTTCCTGTAGTATCTCTGTTAGAATTTTACTAACAAAATTATATAGCAAAAGGCATTGCTTCTATAATTTATTTCAGGACCAATCCAAATTTAACAATATATCCTGACAAAGATTCTCTCCTTGACTAAATTTTAGTTCAGCTCCTCTGAGACCTATTCTTGACTAGGTCTCAACCTTGGCCTTTCGTGTCTGCCTCTACTGAGCAGTTTTAGCATGAATCCTTGTCAGTCTAGGGAGAATCTCCTCACACGTAAGTTCCTCATGTTTCAACCTTGATATATAAACCCTTGGCCTGAATTTAGCAAGAATTCTATAAGGCCAGTTTAGCAAGAATCTCCTTACCCTTGATGTTAACTCTTAGTAATTTTCTATTCACTTACCCCTTCACTCTGCTGGCTACAAATCCTCAGCTGTCTTTGCTGTATTTAGAGTTGAGCTCAGTTTTATAAAAAAAAAGCTTTATCCCCCTACTGCAATAGCTAATGAATAAAATCTATATCGCCTTTAACTAGTATCTGGCTTTATTTCTCTTCAACAAATCTCATCCTTTAAAAATTAGTTTTCTGAGTTCACTATTCTAAATTGACAATTTTTGTTTTTTGCTTCAATTTAGATGTCTCTAGCAGTGTCTCATTCCTTAGGAGGCAATGTGATTTTCCCTCTGGCTGTTATTAAGATTTTCTATTTTGGAGAAGGAACTGCTTTTATGGAATTAATATTGAATATCTTTTATTCCTTGCTATTTAGTTCAAATTTTATGTCAGTTTCTTCTTGCTTATTTTTCTCATCTTTCTGAATATAATTTCAGCAGTACCTATTCTTCCTTGATTACTCCAATTTGTTTACTTCACTGATTTTGTTTCAAATGTTTTCTGAATTTGACATCCTATAATTGTTTTCTACCTTACTAGCATATTTCTTGAATTCTTCTATCACAGGAGTAATCGATTCATTCTATTTAAAATTCATGGTTTAATATTTTGTAACATTTCTTTATAGCTACTCTGATCATAAGACAACTCTATCTAATCTACTACTTTTGTTACCTTTTCCACCCCTTTTTTCTTGTAATTGTCTTGAATGAATTTGTGCTGGTTCCTTTTTGATTATTCAGGTTCAAAGAACATGAGCTTTTTAAGAAATATCTAACTAGATGAGGTTTACTTGGGAGAGGGAATAGAGCCATGTCTTAGGCCAACAGGATAATTCCTTATGAACAAGTGCTTTACACATGTACCAGACTTGGTATATAGACCAACTCAGATCTGCATTCCTTTCTCAACAGAGTAGCAAATGGCTTGTTCTGTTGATAATCATGGAGTCAGGTAACTGGGGTTGGCACCACTGCCGCTACCGCCTGAGGAACACCAAATGCTGTGCTGACTTCACAGAGACTACATTGCCCAAGGAGCTGAACTGGAGCCATGAAGGCTCTGGCTTCCCCAGCAGTTACCTAGAGAGGCTGTCTGATGTAATCCATAAGTGAGAGGGAGCTAAAAACTCTACAGACCAGTCACATCTAATGAGAGAGAAGAACAAGAAGACAGAAACTTCCCTTCCACTCTCTAGCAAACTGTTTGAGGACACAGTGATTCACATGAAGACTATGAAGGCTTGCTGACTGTGAAACCAGAGGTGCTTATCACAGAGCCATAGCTAACTAGGTAATGGCCCCTTTGTACCTACCATTCCTCTTCACCAGCCTTACTCCTCATTTTTTCATTTTTTAAGGAGGTCTGTACATGAGTTTGAGTAAGCTCCAAGAGTTGGTGATGGACAGGGAAGCCTGGCGTGCTGCAGTCCATGGGGTCACAAAGAGTTGGACATGACTGTACATCCTAGCTAACTGCTATCAGGTAAGTTTTTGCTTTAAATTCTGTGTTTCTAGGATTACCCATTAAGATAGAATGCAAGTTTATTAACCCACATTTAGGTGTCTGAGAGGGCTTCCCCCCACACACACAAACAGAAAGTCTCTTTTCTTACATTGTCAGAGAAATAAGAGTACTACTGAAAAATATGGTTTAAGTGTCTGTTTCCACACTTAGGACTAATGAGTCTGCTTTGCAGAACCAACCTGTATACAAAGAAGTTCCACCTCCCTGGGGGCAACATTGTGGTTAATCTAAAGATTTAGGTTTCACACCTCAGAGTATTTCCTTTACTTTGTCCCTGAAAAGTATTTTGCCAATTCCTCTTACTAAGAGATATGCTTTTGTTTTCCATCCATCTGCCATAAATATATTCCTGCTTGATTTTTTCAGTGATTTTGCCACTTTTATACTTGTGCTGATTTGGGATTTTAGATCATCTCTAGTGTCATAAACTGAGTTTGTAATGCTCATTTACATTAATGATTCTGGATGACCTGAAGGCAAGGATGGAGAAAATACTCACTTCACACATCCTTCTTCAAAGAAGTTCACTCTGTCCTTTAAATACTGTCTTCACTTAGCTATAAGACACCACATTCTCTGTTTCCACCCAACCTGCAAATGCTCCTTCTCTTTTTTCTGCTGAGTCATCTCATTCTCACGTCTTCTGAAAGGTGGTGTCCCAGGATATAAGCCTTCAGACCTTTCAAATATGTGCATTCCTCCTCCTAAGGAGAGATGTTATCTAATCCCTTTCCTTTTAAATACTATGTTTTGAAGCTTTAAATACTGTCATAGCTGACACTTTCCAAATAAATATCTACCACCTGGACTCTGCCCTAATCTACTTCTGCTTATATACACAAAACCTGAATATTTTATAGTCACCTGAAACTTGATGTGTGCAATTTAATCTCCTATTAACTCCTCCCAAACTGTTTCTCCCCATTTTTTCCCAGTCTTGGCAATTGGTGCCTATTGATCCAGTTTTTCTGAATGAAATCCTCAGAGTCTTTCTTGACTCTTCTCTTTTTCTCACATTCCTTGTCCAATTCAACAGCAAATCATATAGGTCCCCACCTTCAAAATATATCCAGAAGCCAATCACTTTTATTCTTCCTCACCACTTTCAACCAAGGATAAGCTACCATCACATTTACACAGACAGAAATACTATTTTGACTGACGTTCTTGCTTTCAGCCCTCTTCCCCCAATATTTTCTTTGTTCAGCAGTTAGAGGGATCAATTTAAAAGACATAGCAATGTATGTTGCTTACTGGGTTAAATTATGCCAATGGCTTCTCATCTTACTCAGAATAAAATCAAAGTCTTTATCATGGTCCTACACAATTTGAGCACCCAGTGCCTCTACAATACCAACTCTTACTACTCATTGCTCCTTCATTTCCCCCAATCCAGAGTGATATTTATGTGTCCTCAAATACATCAAGTACATCCCTGCCTTAGTGGACTGACATTTGATGTTACCTCTGCCATCGAGACTCTCCATGATTCTCATTCTCATTTTATTCAAGTAGATATCATCAGAAATCCCTTCTTGATATCCTTTCTAAAGTATAACACTCCATCATTCTTACCCTTATCAATTTCCTTGTGCTGATTCCTTGGTATTTACTGGCATATTTTATGTATATACATGTGTTATTGTTTGTTGACTGTCCTTCTCTCCCTATCAGAATGTAAGCTCCATGAGGTCAGGGACAAAATTTAGTTCACTGATGTATTTCCAATACCTAAAACCTGAGTGATGCTCGTGGGTACTCAGTATTTGTTGAATGAAGAAATGAACATATGAGCAACAATTAAGAGTAAAAAGAATTCATACCTATCACCAGGTGACCTATTTAACACACCCTAACTCACCTGGGTAGATCTGGCTTGGAGACTCTGTCTCTAATACCCATGGCTGCTCTCCTCATTCCAACTTGAAGATCAGTTCTGGTTTAGGCATGCAAAACCCTGTGAACAGGAAATGACATGGGAATTGGGCTAGGCTCATAGGCTTTAGGGCTTCTGAAGAAAACAGAAAATGAAGCTTCAGACATCCATTTCAAACTTTTACTAGAAAAAGAAAAACATTCTTTATAATGTTTCAACAATCCTTCTAACCACCCTAAATCTGAAGCCTAAATATGATCAAACCCAAAAAAGCTTCCATGGGATTTAGCAAGCAAGAAAGGATGTGCAACTAGGAATCTACAAGGAAAACAATTCCTACCCACTGAGATGAATGACTATAGTTCTCCAGCATCACATCCCTGTACAGAGCCCTCTGAGCAGGGTCCAGCCGCTGCCACTCCTCCTGAGTGAAGCCCACAGTGACATCCTCAGATGATAAGGATTCCTGAGACAGCACACTTGTGTTCAAATTCAAGTAATCAAAACTGGAAGACATGGAAAATCTGTATGAAGTGGTTATACTGTTTACTATTCAGAATTAATAAAAAAATGTTTGTGATGTCTACTTTTGCATTCTATTTGGTTGGAGAGGGAGAAATCATAATAGATATTCCCTACTACTGTTATAAGTTATTGGTGCCTGCAAGCCATAAAGAACTCTCCTACTTTGGGGGAATCTGAAGACAAAGCAATGTTACTTTTATCAAGGCGCATATAATCTGAAAACAAACATACATCATATAACTACAATAAGAGGTTATTATAGTGAAAAGATGTGCAAAGTTGACTGAGGTTACAAAGGGGACAAAAGATCTAGTCCTGCTATTAGGGCAGGTTTCACTGAGGAGGTTAAAAAATATTAGAGTAACATTCATGAACATGGGGCCACAGCATAACCATGTATACATCTAAAATATATAGTTAAAAGAATAACAATTAGCATATAAGATAGTGCCATTCAGGACTATGATAAGATAAAAAGCTATAGATGTATTCAAGGAATGAGTTATTGAATAATTTTGGACTTAACACCTATAGAATAGGGGTGTCCAAAATATCTGGTTACAAATTTATGATTTAGACAAAAATGTAGGTAGGCACCTGAGTATTTTCTTCCCATAACTGAACAGACTGTTTCACAGTTTTTACCAAGGGTGGATTCCATCTCAAGAAACTACTTTCTTTGCTCATTTATAAGAAGCAACTCCTCATCCGTAAAGTTTTACCAAGAGACTGGAGTAATTCAGTAACATCTTCTTGCTCCACTTCTGATTCTAGTTCTCTTGCTATTTCTACCATATCTGCAACTACTTCCTCCACTGAAGTCTTCAATTTCTCAAAGTCATCCATGAGGGCTGAAATCAACTTCTTCCAAATGACTGTTAATGTTGATACACAAACCTCTTCCTATGAATCAGAAACATTCTTAATGGCTTCCAGAATGGTGAATTCTTTCCAGAAGGTTTTAAACTTACTTTACCAGATCCATCAGAAGAATCACTACCTATGGCAGCTAAAGCCTTACAAAATGTATTTCTTAAATAATAAGATGTGAACAGCAAAACCACTCCTAGATCCATAGCCTGAAGATGTTGTATTAGTAGTAGGCATTGAAAACAACATTAATCTCATTGTACATCTCAATCAGAGCTCTTGGATGACTAGGTGCACTGTCAACAAACAGTAATATTTTGAAAGGATTTTTTTTTTTTCTGCGCAGTAAGTCTCAATAGTGGGCTTAAGATATTTCCCAAACCATGTTGTAAACTGATGTGCTGTCATCCAGGCTCTGTTCTTCCATTTACAGAGCAAAAGCAGAGAAGATTCTTAAGGGACCTAGGACTTTTCATATGGCAAATGAGCACTGGCTTCAACTTAAAGTCAACAGTTGCAACAGCCCCTAACAAGAGAATCAGCCTGTCCTTTGAAGCCAGGCATTGACTTCTCTCTAGCTATGAAAGTCCTGAATGGCATCTTCTTCAAATTTTTTAAAAAAATAATTGACATTTTAATGATTTTTTTAAAAAGATTTATTTATTTTTCTGTGCTGGATCTTAGGCGCAGCACATGGAATCTTCACTGTGGCATGTGGGATCTTTTAGTTGCATTATGTAAGAGCTTTAGTTGCAACATGTGAACTCTTAGTTGCGGCATGCAGAGTCTAGTTCCCTGACCAGGAATCAAACCTGAGCCCCCTGTATTGGGAGCATGGAGTCCCAGCCACTGTCTTTTTCTGGTTTAAGACTGTTTTGTCTACATTGAAAATCTGTTGTTTAGTATACCCACCTTCACTAATTACCTTAGCTAGATCTCCTGGATAACTTACTGCAGTTTCTACATCAGGACCTGCTGCTTCACCTTGCACTTTGACGGTATGGAGACAGCTTCTTTCCTTAAACCTCATGAACCAGTCTCTGCTAACTTCAAACATTTCTTCTGAAGTTTTCCTCACCTCTTTCAGCCTTCATGGAATTGAAGAAAAGAAAATTAAGGTCTTCCTCTGGATTAGGCTTTCACCTAAGGGAATATAGTGGCTTGTTTCATTTTCTATCCAAACCACTAAAACTTTTTCCATATCATAATAAGACTGTTTCACTTTCTTATCATGTGTCTGTTTACTGGAGTAGCACGTTTAATTTCCTTTAAGTACTTTTCTTTTGCATTCACAACTTGATTAACAGTTTGGTGCAAGAGGCCTAGTTTTTGGTCTGTCTAGGTTTTCAACATACTTTCCTCACTAAGTTTAATCATTTCCAGCTTTTGAGTTAAAGTGAGAGATTTATGACTCTTACTTTCACTTGAACACTGAGAGGCCACTGTAGAGTTACTAACTGGCCTGATGTCAATACTTTTTTGTCTCAGGGAATATGAAGGCCTGAGGAAAGGTAAAGAAACTGGGAAACAGCTGGTTGGTAGAACAACCAGAACACATACAACATGTAAGTTAATCTTATATGAATGTGGTTTGTGGGGGTCCAAAACAATTACAATAATAACATCAAAGATCACTGATCACAGATCACCATGATAAATATAATAATAATGAAAAAGTCAAAATATTGTGAAAACTACCAAAATATGACACCCTGATATGAAGTGTGTATGCTTTTGGAACAATGTGCCAAAGACTCAATGCAGGGTTACCATAAACCATCAATTTATTTTAAAAAATAATAATAATGCAACATCTGTTAAGTGCAATAAAGCAAAGCACAATAAAACAAGGTATGCCTATATTATACATGACAATGAAAAAATGGAAATGACAAGTGTCTTTCAGTAAAGAAATGGAAAACTAAAATGTGGTATGGTCTCATAATAAAACATTATATGGCATTAATAAATAAAGTATTAAGCAATTTGGACCAATCTTAAATATTAAAATTTTTTTAAAGTCCCTCTGTGACTCTAGACAGATATTATCCATGCCTTCCCCTCACTTCTGATGGTAGCCAGCAATATGTAAGAGTCTTTGGATTGAAGGTGCAATACTCCAATCTCTGCTTCTGCCATCAGGCAGTGTTCTCCCCATTTGTCTCTATCCTAGTGATACTGTGATACAGTTAGGATTATATATTCTTGTCTCTGGCAAGAAGAAGGACATAATAAAAATTAGAGAGGCAAATAAGTGGAGTATAAAAATAGAATGAACAAAGCCAAAAGTTGCTTCTCTAAAAATAAATCAACAAAATTAACGAACCTTTAGCTAGACTGACAAAGAAAAAAGAGAAAAGACTCAAAATATTAAAATCAGAAATGAAGATACTTTTACTGACCTAACAGAAATAAAAAGGGTTATAAGACAATATTGCTACAATTACATGTCAAAAAATTAGAAACTTAGATTAAATGAATAAATTCCTAGAAACACAGAAATAACCAATTGACTCAGAAAGAAATACAAAAAGTGAATAGCAAGCAAAGATATCAAATCAGTAATCAAATATCTCTCAAACAAAGGAGAGTCCAGAACCAGATAACTTCACTGGTGAATTTTAGCAAACATTTAAAGAAGAGTAACACTAATTCTTCCCAAACTCTTCCAAAAATAAGTGGAAGAAATATAGTTGACCCCAAAAAAACACAGGAGTTAGGGGTGATGACCTCAGTGCAGTTGAAAATCTGAGTATAACTTTAGAGCTGGCCCTCCTTATCTGGTTCTGCACCTGTGGATTCAACCAACCATGGATTGTGCAGTACTGTAATATTTAGTACTTAAAAAAAAACTACGAGTGGACCTATGAGTTTAAACCTATGTAATTCAAGAGTAAACTGTATTTCTTAATTCAATGAGGCCAGTGTTAATTACGCTAATATTTAAGCCAAATAAAGGAATCACAATGAAATGAAATTACAGGTCAATATGCCTTATGAATATAAATGTAATATACTCAACAGAATACTGTAAGATTGAGCCCAAACAACATATTAAAAGGGTCATGGGGAATTCGCTGGCAGTCCAGTAGTTAGGACTCTATACTTCCACTGCAGGAGGCACAGATTCAATCCCTGGTAAGGGAACCAAGATTCCACAAGCCATCTGGTGCAGCAATCAATCAATCATGAATCACGATGAAGTAGAATTTATACCTGGAAGCCAAGAGCAGTTCAACATGAGAAAATCAATTTAATATACTAAATAAAGATGAAAAATCCCCACAAATTGCTCAAGTCAAGCAGAAAAAGCATTTGACTACATCAAAAACCTTTTCAGGATAAAATCACTCAATAAACTAGGAACAGAAGTGAACTTCTCAACATGATAAAAAGGCATGTATGAAAAACTCACAGCTAAAAATATTTAACGGTAAAAGACTGAAAGCTTTCCCACTAAAGTGAGGAACAAGATGAGAATATTCACTTTGGGCACTTCTATTCAACACTGTAAAAGAAGTTTCAGCTAAAGAAAACCAGGCAATAAAAAGAAATAAAGGCATCCAAATTAGAAAGAGTAAAGTAAAAATATCTCTATCTGTAGAACATAATCTTATACATAGAAAATCCCAAAGAATCCACCAAAAAACTATTAGAGCTAATAAATTCAATAAAATTGTAGAACATAAGATTAACACAAAAAAACTCTGTTGTTTTACTATACACGGACAATGAACAATCCAAAAGTATATTAAGAAAACAACTCTACTTATGATAGCATCAAAAAGAATAAAATACTTCAGAACAGAGTTAATCAATGAGGTACAAGACTTGCATTCACTGAAAATTACAAAACTTTGTTGAAAGAAATTAAAGACCTAAATAAATGGAAGGACATTCCCTGTTCATTGGATAAAATACTTAATATGGTCAAGATCAAAATACTCCCCAGAGTTTCACATATTTGATGAAAAATCCACTGGTCTTTTTTTTGCAGAAATGGACATGATCTTTAAATTCACATGGAAATGAAAGTAACCTCAAATAACCAAAACAACCTTGACAAAGAGAAACAAATCGTAGGATTAACACATTTTAACTTCAAAACTTGCCACAAAGCTAGAGAATCAAAACAGTATAGAACTGGCATAACGAAACATATAAATCCAGTGAACAAAACTGAAAGTCTGGAAATAAACCTATATTTACCAGGTGGTGCTAGTAGTAAAGAACCCACCTGCCAATGCAGAAGACATAAGAGACGTGGTTCAATCCCTGGGTTGGAAAGATTCCCTTGGAGGATGGTATGGTAGCCCACTTCAGTATTCTTGCCTGGAGAATCTCATGGACAGAGGAGCCTGACGGGCTACAGTCCCTAGGGTTGCAAAAAGTCAGACACGACTGAAACAATTTAGCACAAACCTATACATCTCTGGTCAACTAATTCTCAACAAGAGTACCAAGGCCATTCAACAGAAGGAAAAACAGTCTCGTCAACAAATGGTGTGGGGACAATGGGATATCCACATACAAATAACAAGATTGGATCCCTTCCTGTTATATATGCAAAATTAACTCAAAATAGATCAAAGACCTAAATATATGAGCTAAAACTGTAAAATTTTTAGAAGAAAACATAGTAAATCTTCATGATCCTGATTTGGCAACAAGTTCTTAGATATGACATCAACAGCACATACAACAAAAGATAAATAGATACACTAAACTTCATCAAAATTAAAACCTTTTTTGATTCAAAGTATATACACTCAAGAGAATGAAAAAACAAGTCAAAGAATGGGAAGAAATATTTGAAAATCATATCTGATAAAAGCCTAGAACTCAAAATGCTTTGATAATAAACAACCCAATTTAAAGATGAACCAAAGACATGAATAGACATGTCTACAAAGTAGCTATAGAACTATCCAACAAGCACATAAAAAGGTGGTCACTGGTTATTAGGGAAAAGTAAGATATGACTTCATATACACTAGGAAGACTATAATAAAAAAATGTAGACAACATGTGCTGTTGAGGATGAGGAAAAACAGGAACTCTCATACATTGCTAGTAAAAATGTAAAATTGTGCAACCACTGTGAAAAAGTTCGGTGGCTCCTCATGTAGTTAAAAATAATTAACACAGGACCCAGCACTTGCACTACTAAGCCAATACCCATAGTTGAAAACAGGTTTTCTTTCTTTAAAAAAAAAAAATGAAATACAATTACTTGAATGAGAATATTCAAGACAGGAAAAGATGCAGTGATACAGGCAGAAAACAGGTTTTCAAACAAAAATGTAAACAAATGTTGACAGCAGCACTATTCACAACAGCTCTAAGGTGTCTATTAATTGATAACTGTATAAACAAAATGAGGTACATCAATACAGTGGAATATTACTGAGTCACGAAAAGAAATGAAATCTTGGTAAAAGGGTAATAACGTTCAGCTATAAAATGAAAAAGGACTGAGGATCTAAAGTATAACATGGTGACTAAGTCGATAACACTGTACTATATAACTGAAATTTGCTAAGAGAGAAATTAAATATCTCATACACAAAAAAAGATAAATATGTGAGGTGGTAGATGTGTTTACTAGATGGGAGGAATCCTTTCACATCAAACTGTCATGATATACAATTGAAATATCTTACAACTTTGTCAATTATACCATAATAAAGCTGGGGGGAAGGAATAAAGTCTGATACATACAACAGTATGGATGAAACTTGAAAACATTACATTAAGAGAAAGACACAAAATAACACATATTGTATGGTTACATTTATATAAAATAGCTAGAAAAGGCAAGTCTTTAAAATCAGGGCATAAATTAGTGGTTGCCAGTGACAGGGGTAAAAGGGGAATAGAGAATGACTTTCAAGGGTATTAGGTTTTATTCAGGGATGATGGAAATGTTCTGGAACTAGATAGTGATGATGCTTGCACAACACTGTGAATATATTAAATGCCACTGAACTTACACCTTAAAATGGCTAAGTAGGGGACTTGGAGGTCCCGTGGTTCCACTGCAGGGAGGAATGGGTTTGATCCCTGGTTAGGGAACTAAGATCCTGCATGCTGTGCACACAGCACAGCCAAGAAAAACTGAAAACTAAAATTAAAATGGCTAATTGTTTATGTGTGTTTAAACAATATATATTATTGGTGACTTTAACTGACCAAATTCTAGCAAATGATGAGGAAGAATTCATTCTGCATGAAGGAGACTGAAATTTGCTTATGCGCGAAATGTCTTCTATTAACTGAACACTCTACATACCGAGCAAGATAGAGAATTTTTAAGTTTATTGTAAGGACATGCAGTCAACTTATTCTGTAGATGTTCTAACAATAGTTTTAGCCAGGAGTGGAAAAAAACACATCCTGTAGACAACAGAAAGCTGTCCACATGAGCATCAGTAATATGGTCTCCTGAGAAACCTCATTAACTGAGTTTTACTTGAGACCATTATTTGTATCCATTGAAGAATGATTTCAGGCATTTATTTCATGGTTGCCACCAGAAGGCTGTTCATCATTTACATGAAAAGAGACAAAAGGGTTGTTTTTTTTTCCAGCTTTTTTTTTCCCCCTTAGGCAAGTTGCATAGGTTTGTTTTTTTTTTTCATTTATTTTTATTAGTTGGAGGCTAATTACTTTACAAAATTGCAGTGGTTTTTGTCATACATTGAAATAAATTAGCCATGGATTTACATGTATTCCCCATCCCGGTCCCCCCTCCCACCTCCCTCTCCACCCGATCCCTCTGGGTCTTCCCAGTGCACCAGGCCTGAGCACTTGTCTCATGCACCCAACCTGGGCTGGTNATATTTTGTCCTACCTCCCTTCGAAGACAATGGGCTGCTTTTCTGGGCGCCTGATGTCCTCTGCTAGCGATCAGAAGTTGTTTTGTGAAATTTGCTCAGCGTTCAAATGTTCTTTCGATGAATTTGTAGGAGAGAAAGTGGTCTCCCCGTCCTATTCCTCCGCCATCTTGGCTCCTCCCCCTCTTTTTCCAGCTTTCAATGCCAGAAAGTCTTTAGGTTCCAAAAGGAATCAGGCAGCTTTATTCACATGATTAATAAAAGCCATGTAACACAGAGTCTTATTTTTGGCCATGACTACCAGAACAGTCAGAAATATTTGCAGCTCACTCTGATAACCACATAACCTCTTATATATATATATATATAGAGAGAGAGAGAGAGTGTGTGTGTGTGTGCTTCTCCTTGCCAACTCTGCTCTGCTGCTGCTAAGTCACTTCAGTCATTTCCGACTCTGTGCGACCCCATAGACAGCAGCCCACCAGGCTCCCCCGTCCCTGGGATTCTCCAGGCAAGAACACGGGAATGGGTTGACATTTCCTTCTCCAATGCAAGAAAGTGAAAAGTGAAAGTGAAATCGCTCAGTCGTGTCCGACACCCAGTGACCCCATGGACTGCAGTCCACCAGGCTCCTCTGTCCATGGGATTTTCCAGGCAAGAGTACTGGAGTAGAGTGCCATTGCCTTCTCCGAACACTGCTCTAGTGACCTGCTATTCCAATGCTACTGGCCCGGAAAGGTTAATATCACCATCACCTGCAATCTCAGGCCTCATTCTGGGTTTTACAAACTTTCCTGGTGATTTTAATGCACATTAAAGTTTGAAAACAATTATGGTAGACTGTTTCCCTCAGGTTCATTTGATATATTTCTACTGTTCTGTTTCAAGTCTAGGAATCATTAACCTCATAAGATACATTGTAACACAAACTGTAGAAAGTCTTGCAAAAACTCACACAGAATTTCTTCATATTTTGCTGGTCTTGGAAAAATGCTGAAATCTCTGTAGGTATAGTTGGAATAGAAAAAGAGGAATAAAATCATTAGAGGTACAGATTGCCTGCAACTCTTGGATTTGCATATTTAAATAGATACAAACATCACCTGGGTAAAATGCTTCTCTGTGAAGGAATATCCTTTTCATCCTGGAGAAGAGGCAAGAAGGGATATATGGAAAAAGTATCCACATGTCTATGTGTGACTGTAATATGGTCATGCAGATATTGGGTGTGAAAATTTTTCATTGGCTGAATGAAATTAAGTTTCTACTTTTTAAAAAAAAATATATGTAGCTCTTTATTTGAAAGAAATTAAAAAATTACAAGGAAATTGGTCAAATTACAATATTCTAAATGAAGGAACACTAAGCCTTCAGGAGAAGGTAATGGCACCCCACTCCGGTACTCTTGCCTGGAAAATCCCATGGACGGAGGAGCCTGGTGGGCTGCAGTCCATGGGGTCGTGAAGAGTCGGACATGACTGAAGTGACTTCGCTGCAGTAGCAAGCCTTCATTAAATTATACAGCAAATATTGCAATGTAATGGTTATTTTCTTATTTACTGCTTGAAACAGAGAATTCACCCAAAGCTATGAAAAAAGGGAAGGAGGCACTTTAAGGTAGCATTACTTTTTAAGTGTTTTTCCAATGTATATGTATAGATAAATAACAAGGACTTACTGTATAGCACAAGAAACTATATTCAATATCTTATAATAACCTATATGGGGAAAGAATCTGAAAAAGTGTGTACACACACACACATACATACACACACATATGCTTCACAGGTAGCACTAGCGGTAAAGAACCCACCGGCTAACAATGCAAGAGACATCAGAGACATGGGTTCTGGGTTGAGAAGGCTCCCCTGGAGGAGGGCACGGCAACCCACTCCAGTATTCCTGCCTGGAGAATCCCACAGACAGAGGAGCCTGGCAGGCCACAGTCCATAGAATCACAAAGAGCTGGACATGACTAAAGTGACTTAGCAAGAATGCATCAATACATGTGTGTGTGTGTGTGTGTGTGTGTGTATAAATACATATGTAACTGAATCATTTTGCTGTACACCTGAAGCACTGTAAGTCAATATTTCAATTTTTAAAAATCAACTAATTAAAAAAACATTTAAAAATATGGAAAAGTAAAAAAAAAAGAAAAGTGTGTATAGATCCGCAAAAAGTTGCCTTTTAAGAAATGTTTTACCAGTGATGATGCAGCAGCCACTGGCCTGGGTATCAAGAGACTCAACATATCTTCTTGGCTCTGCCACTAACACAAAACCAGGGAAATTCACTTGCACCCTCAGGACTAATTTTTCCCAACTTCTTAAGACAAATAGAAAACTCTTCTTATACTGATGTGTGTAAGAAAATCATCAGCATATTTTTAGATACCAGATTCACTATGATAAGAGCTTAGAATCTGGGACCAGTGAGTGAAAAATAGAGTGGGGTTAAACCAGGATTGGTAAAACAGAATTTATTCCAATCTAGTTTAAAGCTCCTTTCCCCATACCGTATCCTCAAAACCTTTCCAAGGAAGTTAAGTTTCCTGAGTAGCCTAACCCTTCCTCATTCCTCTCAGCCCAGTTCCCCTCTCTTCTAAAACCTTGTCTGGACTTTGTTCCACTGGGCAGCCTATGATGGCTTCAGAATGTGGCAACATCATCCAAATCTCACTTATTCCGAACAGGCGGGTCAAACCTGGGACCTGCTCTGCTAAGAAACTCACTCAAATGGTGGAGCAGTTCACTCCCACGTCCTTTTCCGTGCCTAGAGGCTCCTCCTTCTTACTTCACAAGAGGCACTTTATTCCAAGAAAGATGAGAAATGCGCCTAAAGGACAAATTCATTTAACTGGAATCTTCACCAAGTTCAACTCTTTGTACACATTATTCCACAGAGTATCAGGTAAGACCTTGAATAACTTCAAACGCACACTGCTCAGAACACAGAGAAAGCTAGACTCTTACAGAACTCAGAAACAATTATGCTGCCAGTCCCAAGGACTCCAAAAGCATTCAGAAATCTCAGATACAGAGCTGCTACATGGAAATATTCAAACATTCAAATTATGTCTTAACATGTCAAATTATTTCTGCTAAGTGCTGCGGATGATGCAAAGCTGGCTTTCATAATCAAGATAGTAAATGCAGATCATGACATTTGGAGAAAATGTTTGTCTTCTAGTTACCCGATAGTTTCATGACTTTTAATATATAACTGTCCTCTCAGTCTCAGTGTCCTAATTTGTCACAGTGCGGAGAGTTACACTATCCTAGGTGTGAGCCACAAACTAATGAGTGAGAAGAATGATTATTTCTATTGAACATCAGCAGCCAATATTTACCGCCAGGCACTATGTTACATTATTTAATCTCTGAACAACCCCACGAGGCACATGTTATTAATTCCTCGAGTTTTACACACGAGGAAATGAAGTGTCACGTAGGTAACTTTGCTGGATATTCCTATATACCAAGTTCTGCCCTGAACCCGAGCGTCCCTCAAACCCGCCCCCTCTTTCGGGCAGGGCTCACCCACCGCGTCTTTGCACTTGCCTGGCTCGCATCTACGCACTCCACCTCGCGGAGGGGCCGGACACACGCGGCACCGCAGCCTCAGCGAGGCCCCGGGTCCCCTCGCCCGACGCTGGCTACTTCCCCTGACAGGGACTCCGCCTAGGCAGCTCCTACCTGCCCGCCTTCTCAGGTTCTGACGCCGCGGGTCCTGCGCCCCTCTCTGGAGCCGCGTAGGTACCTCTCAGCTGTCGCCCAACCATTCTGCCTCGTCTGCCGCTCCCACTCGGGCCCCACCGGCTCAGAGCGGGGCGCGCAGACCCGGACCCTTCGGAACAGTCTCCCACAATAACCCCTGAGACTTTTTAGAGGCAGAGGCTAAAGGGTATTGCACATGCGCAGAAGGAGCTGCAGACCAGCAAGTCCCATAACCGCGAGCGCCGAGCTCTCAAACTTCCAGACTCTATCTCCCGGACGCCCGCTCCCTGAGGACCTTGAGAGAATTTCAGAAATCCGACCCCATCTTCAGGAATTCAGAGTTTGTGGGTTAGGGTTATCACTTCTACTATTTGCAGCCCCTAGGGGGTGTTTTGTTTTTTGTTTTTTGTTTTTTTTTTTTAGTACCTCAGAAAAAGTCTCACAGCCAGTGTGCCTTTTAAAACAGCAAGTTGACCAAAGCAGCAAAGCTGCATATCAATGTCAATTATGAATAAAAATAGGAAGGTTACTTTAACTCCCAAGAAATAAATGAATTAACTACTAGGAAATACTATCAATAAGATGGTACTGTTTTAAAGTAAGCAATACATAAAAGCCTTTCTTTCAGCAGTGAAAAACATAAGTTGGCACTTAAGCTATCAAGTAAAACTAAATCCAGACTTCAGGTAAAGAGAAATATTTTTTTTAAAGGCTATTGCTGTAGAAATAATGCCCTGATTTAAATATCAGAAAGCATCTCAATTAAATAGAAAAAGGATTTTCTTTCCTAGGAAGGAATAAGAAGGATTAACAGGAACTAACTGGGCGAGTGAATGGAGGAGATGAACAACAGCATGCTTGGGTAGTCTGACAGGAAACTCTGATCAGCCCTTTTTAGAATGAGCCCTTAAGGCACAGAGGGATATTCTGTATTTCTGTGTTTGGTCAGACTAGGAGAAAGTCAAGGTTCAGGGGCTTATAAGGGTGAGAGAAACCTGATTAAAGTTTGACCCAAGCTATGTGGTGTTGGAGAAGACTCTTGAGAGTCCCTTGGACTGCAAGAAGATCCAACCAGTCCATCCTAAAGGAGATCAGTCCTGGGTGTTCATTGGAAGGACTGATGCTGAAGCTGAAACTCCAATACTTTGGCCACCTCATGTGAAGAGTTGACTCACTGTAAAAGACCCTGATGCTGAGAGGGGTTGGGGGCAGGAGGAGAAGGGGACAACAGAGGATGGGATGGCTGGATGGCATCACCGACTGGATGGGCATGAGTTTGAGTAAACTCCGGGCATTTGTGATGGACAGGGTGGCTTGGCGTGCTGCAATTCATGGGGTTGCAAAGAGTCAGACACGACTGAGCGACTGAACTGAACTGAACTGAACACCTACCATATAAGAAATTCTTCACTGAGTCTGTTAGCCTGAGAAGGAAGGATACTCAACAACAGGAAAATAACTTAAAGTCACATTAACATATAAAGAATACCAGTAAAGATTACATAGGTAAATATAAAACCCAGTATTGTTGGGGGTTTTGTTAGTAACTCTTTTGTTTCTCACGTAATTTAAGGACAAACCCACAAGTGGTAAATGTAACACAATATTAACTCCAGCCTAACAGAGGCAATTCTGACTTAACAGAGGCAGAGGAGATTAAAAAGAGGTGGCAAAAATACACAGAAGAACATACAAAAAAGATATTAATGACCTGGATATCAATGGTGCGGTCTCTCACCTACAGCTGGACATCCTGGAGTGTGAAGGAAAGTGGGCCTTAGGAAGCATAACTAGGAACAAAGCTAGTGGAGGTGATGAAATTCCAGCTAAGCTATTTCAAATTCTAAAGAATGATGCTGTTAAAGTGTTGCACTCAATATGCCAACAAATTTGGAAAACTCAGCAGTGGCTACAAGACTGGACAAGGTCAGTTTTCATTCCAATTCCAAAGAAGTGAAGTGAAGTCACTCAGTCGTGTCCGACTCTTTGCAACCCAATGGACTGTAGCCTACTAAGCTCTCGGTCCATGGGATTTTCCAGGCAAGAGTACTGGAGTGGGTTGCCATTTCCTTGTCCAAAGAAAGGCAATGCCAAAGAATGTTCAAATTACCATACAACTGCACTCATTCACATGCTACTAATGTAATGCTCAAAATCCTTCAAGCTAGGCTATAGCAGTACTTGTATGGAGAACTTTCAGATGTACAAGCTGGGTTTAGAGAAGGCAGAGGAACCAGAGATCAAATTGCCCACATTCACTGGATCATAGAGAAAGCAAGGGAATTACAGAAAAACATCTACTTCTGCTTCATTGACTACAAGAAAGTCTGTGCATATGTGACTCACAACAAACTGTGGAAAATTCTTACAGAGATGGGAATACCAGATCACCTTATCTGTCTCTTGAGAAACCTGTATGTGGGTCAAGAATCAACAATTAGAACCTCACATGGAACAGCTAACTAGTTCAAAGTTGGGAAAGGAGTACAACAAGGCTGTATATTATCACGTTTATTTAACTTATATGCAAATAAAATCGAATGAAATGTTGGACTGAATGAGTTACAAGCTGGAATCAAGATTGCCAGGAGAACTATCAACAATTTCAGATATGCAGATGACACCATTCTAATGGTAGAAAAAGAAGAGGAA